AAATGGAGCAAAGGAACTTTTGATAAGACCAGGAACCCCAGGCCTAAAGGGTCCCAGGAGACCTTTTCTTTGAGGTCAGAGAGCAATGCACAGCTCCTCTTGCAAATGGGGCCAACAGCCCAGGCTCTCTTGCCCAGGTTGGGGGTTCTCTTTACAAGGGCCACCCTGTCCCTCTCTTCTGCTTCTCCAAGCTTATTTCCTCAAACTTGATCCTGTCCCAAAGGTTTCTGACCTTGCGAAATAAACGACACACACACACACAAAAAAATCCCAGGCCTACTCTGCATTCCTCCCTGACTTCCCCCAGGCACTGACACACAGAACTTACTGTCAGCTCAAATGGATGGACTGGAAAGGGAAAGATGAAGGATAGAAAAGCAATGTCATAAATATCTCAAATATTCAGCTACATGAGTACGTGACCTGGTGCATACAATTAAGTCAACTGTGAGCCCTACAGGTTATTCCACAAAATCAGCTTAAAGGGAAGTAAGAACAGTTGTTTATTCCTCTAAACTGCAATACAGAAAGGAAATACTCATTTAGTAACCCCCCCCCCCCCCACACACACACCCTTTGGTCAATATCCTCCTATAACAAACAGCTTAAAAGAAAGTAAAGAAAGTGATCTCTTCTAAGAAGTGTTTGGGTGTTAAGTTGATCGCCAGCCTGAAAGGCATTAGGGCCACTTTAATAAAAGGATGTAGACTCAGTTTTAAGGCACTTTACTTATATAAAATTATGCTTTTAATCTAATATAATGGCACTTTTTTTCTTGTGAAGATGATAAGCATTATTGATCTCACATCCTAACACATCTTGGGAGTAGGATGAACCTGGATAGTAAGAGCCTTTTTCTCATCCCACCTAACACAGAGGAAACTTCCTAGAAGGAATTCATTTGGAATGAAAGGGAAGCAATTGACTTGCAGGTAAGGGTGGGCAGGGTGGCAGGATTCTTTAGGATGTATGGTGTGAGTTTCAAGAATAATGGCAATAGGCAACCCATGACAGAGGATGAAATTATGAGGCAGGTTGATTTATTAATTATACACAAACAACAAAGGATTGAAAGCAGCTTTTAGAAACGTTCTCAAGTAGTAGGAAATAGGAACATCAGGGAAATACTTCAACTGCAAGCAGGGCCATCCATAAATCTCTGAAATGAGTTGCAATTTTATTCTTCATTCTGATCCATTTCCTTTTGCATCCTATGTCCTCACTTACCTTCCAGAAGAAGCCTACACCTCCAGTCTCCAAGAGAAGAGAAAGCACAAGTGGGAATAATTTTTTTACTAAATTTATTGGGGTGACATTGGTCAACATGAATGTATAGGTTTCTGTATCCTGCACCATGTGCCCACCACCCAAAGCCAAATCTTCTCCTGACACCATATATTAGGACCCCCTTCTCCCGGGAATAATATTTTATAGTGATTACAATGATCAGAATTCCTCAGATTCCTTTTGCTGTCATTTTGCTGTGACCTTCTGACAACTCACATGTCAGGCCAGCCATATCTCTGCTGTGATTTGAACATGTAACATGCTACAGATAAATGCTTCAAAATGAAGTGGGACTGCCTACCTTTAAGCTGCGGGGCATAAGCGGTGAGAGCCTAGTTAAAACATATTAATATTTACTCTTTTTGTGCCTTTTGAATGCTTGCAGGCAGACCTCATTTTATTGCGCTTCACAGCTGTTGTGTTTTCTACACATTGAAGGGAAGACCCTCCACCAGTGAAAACATTACAACTCACTGAAGGCTCAGATAATGGTTAGAGTTTTTTTTTAGCAATAAAGTATTTTTAAATTCAAGGATATACATTGTTTTTTAGAGACTATGGTGTAGTGTGAACATAACTTTTATATGCACTGGGAAACCAAAAAATGTGTGTGATTTGCTTTATTGTGGTACTCACTTTGTTGCAGTGGTCTGGAACTGAACCCGTAATATAGCCGAGGTATGTCTGTATATGTTATAATTGATTACATTTTATTTATTTATTTATTTTAAATATTTTATTGATTTTTTACAGAGAGGAAGGGAGAGCTATAGAGAGTTAGAAACATTGATGAGAGAGAAACATTGATCAGCTGCCTCCTGCACACCTCCTACAGGGGATGTGCCCGCAACCAAGGTACATGCCCTTGACCGGAATCGAACCTGGGACCCTTGAGTCCGCAGGCTGACGCTCTATCCACTGAGCCAAACCGGTTAGGGCTGATTACATTTTAAAAACCAAACTATGTAAACCAGGGATCATTCATCAAATCGAATATTTATGTGACATTTTATTAGATATAAGGTAATGGCAAAATAGACATGCCTCTAATGCAAAGTCAGCTAACTTCAAGTTATCACAGTTGAGATAAGCCATATTTCTAAAACACTTTTTAACACTACTCACTTTTTCAGATTAAAAAAAAATTGTAAGAATCAACTTGCACACCTTTCCTTACCCAATCCATGGGTCCAGTCCCATAAAATGTAAGCCATGTGTACAATTCCAAAGGTTTAAAAGTCCACCATCTTCTATTGCTCCTGTCATTTTCCCTATTACACCAAGACAAATTATAAAAGGAAAATAATGGTTGCTGTCACTGAGCCACTATCCAGTCTCTTAGAACCTGGCCTGATACCAACTTCTGTCCCAGACTTCACTACTTGTTCATGAAATAACCACACTTCATGAGCAACCAAGTCGAATTTCAGTCTATTTTTAAAGACCTTACAATAAAGGCTAATTTCAGGTATACATTCTCTGTTTTTCCACAGTTCTTCTCCATGAGGCACAGGTCCGCCACGTAATGTTGAAACAGGTACATGTTTCCATAAGGAGAAGTATGTTTTCCTGAAGTCATTAAGTAATTAAACCACAATGTGAAGTCTTACTTTCTGGTATAAAAGTGTTAACATTCTTGTAAAACCACAGATAAGTTACCAGTCATATAACCAGAAACCTCAAGAATGAAAGATGCCTCTGTAAAATGTTCCAATCTTCCTGTGGCAGGTACTAAACAAAAAGCACCATCTGCTGTGTGTTCAGGAGAATTTCCTGCTACACATACTGAACTATGTCCCTGACCAAAGAGGTGTGAAATACGGCTGCAGGTGAACAGGTTATGATCACAAATTCAAGGATATTTTGAATAACAATATGAGAGAGAGAATACACCCTGCTTATTTTCTTCAGCATTTGGGATGTTACATAGCCTGTTGAATAAGTATCTAAGCATCCTATTGAAGTTACTATTTAGCAATGAAAGTTCACTTCACTAATAATTATACATGCAAAGAAACTAATTTTTAAAATATTTCATGTTGTCAAATTACTTTGTAATATTAAAAATTGGAAAGGGCCCTAGCCGGTTTTGCTCAGTGGATAGAGCGTTGGCTGCAGACGGAAGGGTCTCAGGTTTGATACCGGTCAAGGGCAGGTACCTCGGTTGCAGGTTTGATCCCCAGCCCAGGTCAGGGGCAACCAATCAATGTGTCTCTCTCACATCAATATTTCTTTCTCTGTGTCTCTCCCCCTTCCTCCCACTCTCTAAAAACCAGTGGAAAAAATATCGAGTGAGGATTAGCAACAACAACAAACAGTGGAAAGGCCTTGTAAGGAATGGTTTGGAGCATGGCCCAGATTCCCGCTTCAGGACCAACGCACTCAATCCCCCAGCTGCTGAGAATATCAGTGTTGATGGCTCACAGCCAAGTCCTCTTCTGCATCTCGCCCTCTGACAAGGTTTTGCCTCCTTTCCCTGGGGTATCCCACATTTCATGACTGGTTAATAACAGGGTGCAAAGGCCTGCCTCCTTACGACAATTCAGGATGACTGAGTGGAAATCCCAGCTTCATAGCCCACTATGGTTTTGGCTGAGGCCTCTACTGCAAATTGTTCACAGTTCAATTTCTCCCTCTATCCAACTCTGCTTCCATCACTCCATTACAGATGTTGTTCCCAAGAGCACATGCCAATAATCTTTCTGTACACAAATATCCCATTTGCGTCTGCTTCCCAAAAAACTCATCCAAAGACAGTTGGTATTGAAAGTGGTCCTGGAAATTAGACTCTAAAATTGGGTTTGGGGGCTGATTCCCTGCCAGCCAGCTGCCAACAGAATCCCATCCCTAGTGAGGGGCGTACTGATAGCACCTGGCACTGTGCTTACTAATTTGCATCCACTTATGCTGAAGCTATGTCCCCACCTGCTTACCTGTAATTAAAAAAATAAAACATAGGGCTTTCTGCATTTATTATATTGACTTTTTTCTCGCTATAGTTTGGACAAGACTGCCACCTCCTGGAGACGCTGGTGAACACTGGGGACTGAGGCGCTCTCATCCGCTTGGGGAACCAGTAATAGGAAGTTGTTTGCGTCTCAATGCTAGCTCCGTATCTCTCCTTGAAATTAAACCAATGCCTAACCCCTCACAACCTCTGCGAACAAATTTTTGTATAGAAACAAGACTTCAAAGGACTTGCGTATCACACTGTTTTAACGTGGAAACTTAAACAAAAGCTAACATATGTAGCTCGCAATATGCCAAGTACTTTCTTAATCCTTACAACAGCCCTATGAGGTGGGAACTATTATAATAAACACCTCCACATTACAGATGAAGAAATTAAGTTCTAAGGGAGTTTAAAGCGACTGGGCATTAAGCGAAAGTGTTGATATCATCACTGGCTAATGAGAACTAAAGGGCTGAGTTAAAGTATTAGGTAGGTGTGGGATGTCCTAGAGCGCTGCTGGAAATAGACCGCTAGTCAGGATCAGGATTGTGCGCTTTAATTGCCCTAAGTAGCTCTTTCTGTTTCTGATCTGAGAAATTGCTTTTCTTTGCTTACACCCCTGGATAGTTGGAACTCCAGTGATTGCCTAGGCACGCCAGCTCCGTAACTAAGTAACCGCCTCGCTCTACCGGGCATGCGCACAAACCCTGAGGCTATTTGTAGGAGGCCGACGGCGAGCGGCGCGGCGGGGTCCCAGCATTCCTTTCGCGCCACCACCAAGATGGCGGCGCCCATGTTGCGGTGCATTTCTCCGAGCCGGTGGTTTTGCACCCCGGGCCCGTTGGCAGTCTTGCCCCGGGGGCTGCGTGAAGCCCACTCGGGCGATAAGGGGTTGCTGGCGGTGCAGAAGGCTCGGGGTTTGTTCAAGGAGTTCTTCCCCGACAAGGGCACGAAGGTAGAGCTCCCAGAGCTCTTCGACCGTAGCATCGCGGGCAACCGTCCCCAGACCATCTACTGCGGCTTCGACCCCACGGCGGACTCGCTTCATGTGGGGCACCTGCTGACGCTGCTGGGCCTCTTTCACTTCCAGCGAGCCGGCCACAACGTGATCGCCCTCGTGGGAGGCGCCACGGCGCGCCTGGGAGACCCCAGCGGGCGCACCAAGGAGCGCGAGGCGCTGGACGCGGAGCGCGTGGGCAGCAACGCGCGCGCCCTGCGCCGAGGGCTCGAGGCCCTGGCAGCGCATCACCAGCAGCTCTTCTCCAATGGGCGGGCCTGGGGCAGCTTCACGGTGCTGGACAACTCGGCCTGGTACCAGGAGCAGCACCTGGTGGACTTCCTGGCGGCGGTGGGCGGCCACTTCCGCATGGGCACGCTGCTGAGCCGGCTGAGCGTCCAGACCCGGCTCAAGAGCCCCGAGGGCATGAGCTTGGCCGAGTTCCTGTACCAGGTGCTCCAGGCCTACGATTTCTACTACTTGTTTCAGCGTTACGGATGCCGGGTGCAGCTGGGCGGATCTGATCAGCTGGGCAATATCACGTCGGGATACGAGTTCATCAACAAGTAAGCGTCTCTCGGCCCTGGAGAAATCCTGGGACCAGATCATTGACACGCGAAATAGCCGGCGATGCACTGTTAGGATTGTGAAGTGACGCCCGTCGTCCAAGCCTTTGTTGGTTTTCCCCCCAAGTAAGGGTCTGCAATGGTGTTAACATTATCATCGGCCAATGAGAACTAGAGGGCTGAGTTGAAGTGTTAGGTATGGGAGGTAGCCTAGAGCTCTGCGGGAAATAGACCACTAGTCAGGATTGTATGTTTTAATTCCCCTAAGTAGCTCTTTGTGTTTCTGATTTGAGAAACTGCTTTTCTTCGTTTATACCTAAGCAGGTATATAGGCTTCCTTGAGTAGCCTCTGCTTTAGCTCGGCACCTTCCGTGAAGCGAGGGATGAGCCACAGGGCTAGCCCAGGTGCGACTCATTTTTTTAAAAGTCCCTTTAAGTTAACTCCTTTAGTGTCTCCACTGACTCCCCCGTTAGCAGCACCTCCCCTTGGCTTGCCCAGAGTCACTGGTTCAATTGCTATTCAGAACGACTAATGCCAGAATAGAGTGAAAGCTGTAAGAAGTCACAGAAGTTTTCTTAGAGCAAGAGACCGCCCGGAAATTTGAAGCGTGATTAGCAGAATCTGCCATCACCTGTGCCTGAAACACATAATGAAGTTTTCCTTTCTGCATAGGTTGACTGGAGAAGACGTATTTGGAATCACTCTTCCTCTGATTACAAGTACAACTGGAGCAAAACTGGGAAAGTCTGCTGGCAATGCTGTGTGGCTGAGCAGGGATAAGACATCTCCATTTGAACTGTATCAGTTCTTTGTCAGGCAGCCAGATGATGCGGTAGAAAGGTGAGTTCTTAATAGTGTGCTGAGAAAAATTAAGCTCATGATACATACAATCTCTATGTATGCTTGGTTGTTGTTGTTTTAAATATATTTTATTGATTTTTTTACAGAGAAGAAGGGAGATTGATAGAGAGTTAGAAACATCGATGAGAGAGAAACATCGGTCAGCTGCCTCCTGCACACTCCCTACTGGAAATGTGCCCGCAACCAAGGTACATGCCCTTGACCAGAATCGAACCTGGGACTCTTGAGTCCGTAGGCCGACGCTCTATCCACTGAGCCAAACCAGTCAGGGCTTGGTTATTGTTTTTTAAGTTATATTCTATTAAAGGCATAAACAGTTGCAACACAGAACATTGTAACTTTAATTGTCCTGAAGTTAAACACTTTTGTTGGTTAAGGCAGATAACCACTGTGGTTGCTAGAAAACTTAGATCCAAGATCCTGATCTGTATCTGGCAAGTCCAGTAAAACCTTGATATATAAAGACTAATTCTGGTGAAGGGGTGTCCATTAAAGCTGCAAGTCCAGTATATAATAAAGTAGGTTTTCCGAATGTGTATGTTAGAAATTGACAAATTAGTTTACTTGTTTTTACTTTTGTAGACACGTTTGTGTAATTAAAATTATGTATGAAAAGTTTAATTTCACAGAAAAGTTTTCCATATGTATTGTAGTTTTAAATTTATACTGAATAGGTCTAGTAAATGTGTGCATTCACCAGTTACGGAGACGAAACAAATGCCCTCAGCTGGGGCGTGGCCTAGCGCACATGGGAACAGCAGCTGGCACTGGTTAAAACTGCTGCAGAAAGTCATGCCATTCGACAACAGAACCAATTACCAAGCTTGATTCGGTGTGCTCATTCCCTGAACATTGTTTACAAGCAGTGACTCTTGGATTTAAATATACAGACTATAGCTGTAGATATGTAATATTTATTTATGTAGGCAAAATTACTAGTGTTTTTTCCAATGTATGATGTATTCGCTAGAATTTATTAAAAATAACAATAACAAAAAAAATAACCTGTTAATGTAATTATAAACAAATCTTGGTTAAAAGCATTTTAAAATTTACAGGGTGTTAATTTTCACATATGACACGTGAACCAGATTTTGTTTAATAAATCCAAAGTCTGTTAAATCCAGGTCTGCAAAATCGAGGGTTTATTGTATTTGAGCTCTGACTTCCCGTCCCCAATCTTCTCTTTATTTCCCTATGTGTCAAATTAATGGTGTGTCTATTCATGAAGTTGTCCATTTATCTAAAACATTTTTTGAAAGTGGGTAATTGCTGTCTTGTGTGGCATGTCTTGCCCAAGGAATGTAATATCATAATAATAAAAGGCCAAGAGGTGTGACGACCAAACAACCAGCCGCCATGAGGTGGCATTGACCACTTCTTGGTCCCTCTCCACCTGCCCACACCCCACCCTCGAGCGGGGTTGGGGCGAGACTGGTGAGCGGGCTGAACTGCTGACCTCTTGGTCCCTCCCCCCAGCCCACAGGCTCAGATGGATCAGCGATGGTGAACGGGAGAACCAGGGTGGGTGGCAGGAGGAACGGGCTGGCTATCAGGCCGTTGGGATCACCAGCTCATCCACAGCTGCTCGGGGTGAGCCCCCGGGAAAGCAGGTGCCAGCAACTTCACCTCCATGCACGTGCACCAGGCCGGCCACTGATGGAAGTGCTGCCCGCTCAGGACCACTCACGCCAGGACAGGTAGGTCGCAGGCGCACCCCGCAGCCTCCGTCAGCACCTCAAGCCCCAGCAGCAGTGGCGGCAGCAGCGGCGCTCACGTGAGCAGCCCCAAACAGGCAGCACATTCCATCAGTGGCCAGCCCAGCGCACGCACATGGAGGTGAAGTCTCCGGCACCCATTTCCTGCAGGCCTGAGCCCCGGAGCAGCCGGGGATGAGCTGGTGGTCCCTACGGCCTGACAGCCTGGCGGCAGAGGCAGCATTCAGCCTGGTGAACGGGCAGAAAATGGCCCTGATCGCAGGAGGCTAGGCCTAGGGACCCTACCCACACGATTTAATGGTGCGCTGGGCCTCTAGTAAGGAAATAAACAGGTGAGGGCAAGCCATCTAAATTGGTGGTATTTCTAGCAGGGGAACAGTCTGGCTCCTAATGCACATTTCAGCTTGCCACAGCGGGGAGATTTGATGCAATGGTGCAGTAGGCAGATTCGGAAAATATTCCAATGAGTCCCCTGATGGAATCAGGACAATACGTTTAGTCCATTGTTCCTGCAAAGTCTTAGTCTCCATTTAAGCATTTTGCCAAGTTTGAGGTGGACTAGGGAGTGGGGCCATTGGGGCAAGTGGTGAGGCCTCTGACATGGTGATATGTCCCTGGGGTGTCATCTCTAGTGTAGGGGGCATAATCATCTCCAATGGCAAACTCTTGAGCTGGGGTGATATCACCTGAAGCATTGTCCTCTCTAGTGATAAGTCCATCTCACTAGGGGTGCGGTCCTCTGGAGTGGTTGCCACTAGTGGGTTGGTGACCCTCCCATGTGGCTGTCCAGTTGGGGTCTTGGTCATGGGCTAGGGGTCATTTATTGATGAGGGGCTCATATTGGACTACCCATCCTCAATCAAGTCATCAACGTGAAGCAGAAGGCAAGATGATGGAAAAGCATAGCAGAAAGGGGAAGATGAGCCTGAGGGAAAATAAATGGATGTTGTCATGGAGGTAAAAGCTTGACTCCCAGAGGACACCAAAGGTGGGATTTGGAGGAGCGTATGATAGTTGGTATATGGGGTATGTAGTTCCCCAGGGTGTGAGAATTAAGCAAGATGAGGGCTTGGGCAAGAGTTCAGTCCATTTTGGGAACCACTTGCCTGAAAGTAATTTAAGGAGTGTCTTTGAAAAGGCTGTTGTGATGCTCAATGACTGAGAGTTCCCAAGGGGAGTCTGGTGTAAGTATTTAATGATTGTGGAGGCATATCTGGAAGCCCCAGCAGAAGGAGGGCAGCGGGCAATGAAATCAATCAGCTAGTGGGAGCATGGTCAATCTCCCCAAGGGAATATGTCCTCATGTAGATAGCTTCCATTGTTTGGTTTGGGAGCAGAAAATGCAATTGTCTATCATAACTTTGGCTGCCACAAAAGAGAAAGGAAGTCCCCTCATTTGAGCCCAAGTTGTTAGGGCATGAATTCCCCAGTGACCTGAGATTATAGAGTCCATTTCTCAAGCTGGTTGGGAAGGGTTGCTACCCTAAGAAGTCTGTACCATGCAGAGTGTGGAGGGCTCAGTGAGGAAGTCTATGATATTGTTGAAAATGTCTTCTGGCATAGAGCGGTTAGTATGAGCAGAAACGAGTTACAATGATAGGAATTGGGGACTCCTTCCCTAGCTGGGCACCCCAAATGGGCTTGTCTATATATGAGAAAAGTGTCCCTTAGCCATTGGCCAGATCAAACTATAAGGCGATAATAAGTTCACAGTTGTGAGTACACGAAACAGAGTTTATTGTTGTGTTATTTCCACACGAACAACTATAAACCTTTGCCCACCCCTGTACAATTGGCAATATGTTTATTCAAGATGGATGTCTTTGAATAGACTATATCCCATGTACATTTTTGCCTCCTTTGTAGATTGTTAATTGACCATAAAGGAATGGGTTTGTTTCTGAGCCCTCTATTCTGGTCCATTGATGTATATGTCTGTTTTTATGCCAGTACCATGCTGTTTTTTATTACTATGGCCTTGTAGTATAGTTTGATATCAGACAGCATGGTTCCTCCAATTTTGTTCTTCTTTCTCAAGATTGTTGAGGATATTTGAGGTCTTTTGTGGTTCTATATGGATTTTTGGAATATTTGTTCTAGTTCTGTGAAATATGACATTGGTATCTTGATAGGAATTATGTTGAATCGATAGATTGCTTTGGATAGTATGAACATTTTAATGATTTTAAGTCTTCCTATCCATGAACTACAGTATATGCTTCCACTTATTTATATCTTTTTCTATTCCTTTCTTCAATGTTTTATCATTTTCCAAGCACAAGTCGTTTACATCCTTGATTAAATTTATTCCAAGGTATTTTTTTAATGCAATTGTAAATGGGATTGTTTTCTTATAGTTCATTATTGGTGTATAAAATACAACTGATTTCTGGATATTTATTTTGGTGAATTCGTTTATCAGTTTTAGTAGGGTTTTTGTGTAGGTTTTTTGTTTGTTTTTTGGTGAAATCTTTAGGGTTCTCTATATACAGTATCATGTCATCTACAAATAATGACAATTTTACTTTTTCCTTTTCAATTTGGATGCCTTTTATTTCTTCTTGTCTGGTTGCTGTGGCCAGGACTTCCAGCACTGTGCTGCATAAGAGTGGTGAAAGTGGACATCCCTGTCTTGTTCTGTTCTTAAGGAAAACACTATTAGTTTTTGCCTTTGAGTATGATGTTGTTTGTGGGTTTGTTATCTATGGCCTTTATTACATTGAAGTATGTTCCCTCTTTGCTGAGAATTTTTATCAAAAATGAGTGCTGGATTTTTATCAGTGGGTGCATCTATTGATATGATCATGTGATTTTTGTTCTTTATTTTGTTATGTTGTGTATCATGTTTATTGAGTTGCAGATATTGTACCAGCCTTGCATGCCCAGAATAAAGCCCACTTGATCATGGCATATAATCTCTTTAATGAATTGCTACCTCTGGTTTGTTAATATTTTGTTGAGGATTTTAGCTCTATGATCATCAGGAATATTGGCTTATAATTTTCTTTCTTTGTAGTGTCTTTATCTGCCTTTGGAATTAGGATAATTTTGGCTTCGTAAAAGGAGCTTGGGAGTCCTCCCGCCTCTTGAGTCTTTTGGGATAGTTTGAGGATAGGTGTTAGTTCTCCTTTGAGTGAATGTTTGGTAAAATTCACTTGTGAAACCATCCAATCCAAGACTTTTGTTTGTTGGGAGTTTTTTTTATTACTGCCTCAACCTCATTAGTTGTAATCTCTCTATTCAGATTTTCTGATTCTTCCTGCTTTAGTTTTGGAAGATAGTATGTTGCTAGGAATATCCATTTAGTCCAGATTGTTTAATTTGCAAGCATATATTGTTGTTCGTAATATTTTTTTACAATCCTTTGTATTTCTGCAGAGTCACTTGTTACTTCTTGTCTTTCATTTCTGATTTTATTTATTTGAGTCCTCTGTTTCTTAATGAGTTTGGTTAAAGCTTTATCAATCTTTTTATCTTTTCAAAGAACCAGTTCTTGGTTTCATTGATCTTTTGTATTTTTTTTTAGACTCTAATTTATTTATTTCTGCTCTGATCTTTTATTTCCTTTCTTCTACTCACTTTGGACTTTGTTACTGTTTTCTAATTTCTTTAAGTGTAAAATTAGATTGTTTGAGATTTTTCTTATTTTCTGTAATGCTATTAATTTCCCCCTTAGGACTGCTCTCACTGTATCCCATAGATTTGGGCCATTGTATTCTCATTTTTATTTGTTTCGATGTATCTTTTGATTTCTTGTTGACCTCATTGTTAACCCATTCATTGTTTAGTACCATGTTAGTTAGTTTCCATGTCTTTGTATGTTTTTCAGTGTTTTTCTTGTGATTGATTTCTAGTTTCATATTATGGTAAAAGAAGATGCTTAATATGAATTGAGACTTGTTTTATATCCTAACATGTGATCAATCCTAGAAAATGTTCTGTGTCCACTTGAAAAGCATTTACATTCTGCTGCTTTGGACTGAAATGCTCTGAACACATCAGTTAAATCCATCTCAGACATTTCTCTTAGCAAGATGACAAATTTAGAAGGAATATGTCAGAATCAAAATTTAAGGATGAATAGAAGGAATTGGTTAATTCCTCATTTCTTGTTCCAATGATTCATAATATGGATACCAGTGCTGCAAAAATTTCTCCATGAAGTTTAGTTGGCCACAAATTCAGTAGTCACATAGCTACCAAAAAACAGTATCATGGACAGCATTTTTCATTAATACAACATTAAAAATTGATCAATTACTAAGCTGCTCTTTATATTTCTTTTCACAATAATCATATATGATACCTACGTTGCCAATATGTGTTCTCCCACGTGTAGATAAACTTTTATTCAGGTACACTTTATACTAGATCTCTGGCAGAAATGTAAAAAATCAAAGTCCCACTGTCTTGCTCTTACCCAAAAGAAACCTAAGGCCTACAGAGAACTGCCATATGACCCAGTGATCCCACTTCTGGGACTATGTCTGAAGAAATACAAAACACTGATTCAGAAGACTGTAGCGTTATTTACAATAGCCACGATTTGGAAGCAGCCAACTGCCCATCAGTAGATGAGTGGATAAAAAAGCTGTGGTACATTTGCACAGTGGAATACTACTCAGCTGTAAAAAAGAAGGAAGAAGAAAATCTTACCTTTTTCGACAGCATGGATGGACCTGCAGAAGTATTGTGCTAAGTAAAATGAGCCAGTCAGAGAGAGACAAATACCATGTGATTTCACTTAGATGTGGAATCTAATGAACAAAATAAAATAGAAACAGACTCATAGATACATAGAATAAACTGACAGCTGTTAGAGGGGAGGGTTATGAGGACTGGGAGAAAAAGGTGAAAGGAATTAAGAAAAAACAAACACCTCATTGACACAGACAACAGTATGGTGATTACCAAGGGGGAAGGGATATGGGGGGGGCGGGGTGAAGAAGGTAAAAGGGGGGTAAATAGTGATGGAAGGAGACTTGACTTTGGATGGTGAACACAAAATATAATATACACATACGTGAAAAACAAAAGTGTAAAATAAAAACATGTTTGGGAAGAATGCACACAAATTTAGATTGGTGATTATCTCTGGGGGCAAGAGGAGAATATGATGGGGCTGGGGCCTTCATCTGTACCTTTGTTATTTTGTGACTTTTAAAGAAAGAAAGATCATGCTCTGGCCAGTGTGTCTCGGTTAATTGAGCATCATCCCATGCACCCAGAGGTCAAGCATGGGATTCCCAGTCAGGGCACATGCCTGGATTGCAGGCTTGATCCCCATTAGGAGGTGTGCAGGAGGCTGCTGATTGATGTTTCTTTCTCTCTCCCTCTCCCTTCTTTTTCTAAAATCAGGTTTTTTTTTAAAAAACATTTGTTAAAAAATAAATAAAGATCTGAAACAAAGATGGCAAAATAGTAACACCTTCAGTCTGGGTGGCATGTGTATGATTGTCTTATGTCCAGTACATTTCTGCATAATTGTTATGTTTCACAATTAAGAATAATTTTAAAAGTAAAGGGAGCCACAGATAAAAACTAGGTATGTGATCTAAATGTAACACTTTATTTTTTGTCCCGAAGGTACCTGAGGCTCTTCACTTTTCTGCCCCTTCCAGAGATTGACCACATAATGCAGCTGCACGTCAAAGAGCCAGAAAAGCGGGGTCCTCAGAAACGACTTGCTGCAGAAGTCACGAAGCTGGTTCATGGGCAAGAAGGGCTGGATTCTGCTAAAAGGTGGCCTTTCCCAATAATGAACACTGATGAAGTTCTTTAGTTAATAGTAAACTTGGGAAAATTTAGAGCCGCACTGCTTTCAAGTTGTCCTTCACTGCTAAGAAGGATTGTCAGTGTGGGCTATAGTTGCTTTTAGATAGTCTCTCTTTATCATAAAAAAAGACGATCCTGAATTAAGTTTATAAATTATACCAGGTATGTTGCTGTTTCAGAAACTTTCAGTCTAGAACATAGTGGGGACTTCATAATTGGTTACTGTGTATTAGGATGTGTATCTGAATAAGCAGTCGCATGATGTTGTCCTCAAACTGTTTTTCAGGTGTACACAAGCCCTTTATCACAGTAGCGTAGATGCACTGGAGGTCATGTCTGATGAAGAGTTAAAAGAGTTGTTTAAAGAAGCTTCATTTTCTGAATTAGTTCTTGACCCTGGAACAAGCGTCCTAGATACGTGCCGCAAAGCAAATGCCATTCCAGATGGTCCCCGGGGGTAAGATTACTTAACTTTCAGATTCATAGTTAATTCACTAGTAAATGTTATAATTCACAGCATGTGTTTCCACAGCGTGTTTTCCTGATAATTCATTAACGGTGTCTCATTTCTTCTAGGAGTTATGTTGGTCTGAGAACAGTGGTTCTCAACCTTCCTAATGCCGCGACCCTTTAATTTAGATTAGTTATCTAATCTGTCTAAAGTTGTTGTTTAGGAACCAATTTCTCCCCATGTTGCAGTGACCCCCAACCATAAAATTATTTTCATTGCTACTTCATAACTGTAATTTTGCTACTGTTATGAATCGTAATGTAAATATCTGATATGCAGGATGTATTTTCATTGTTACAAATTGAACATAATTAAAGCATAGTGATTAATCACAAAAACAATATGTAATTATATATGTGTTTTCTGATGGTCTTAGGCGACCCCTGTGAAAGGGTTGTTCCACCCCCAAAGGGGTCTCGACCCACAGGTTGAGAACTGCTGGTCTGAGAATAAAGTGAAAACTGAGATTAATGGTGATAATAGCTTAATTTTCAGCTTATTGCTGAAAATAGCTTAAATTTCCTATGAAGTCAAGTACTACTATACTGCTTCTTATTAAATGGAACCCAGTTAATTTGTCCTCCAGCATTGGAAAAGGCTTGCATTTAAGGAATCAGTATCTATAATAATAAAAGCATAATATGCTAATTAGACCAGACATACTTCCGGACAACCTTTCGGACGAAGCTGGGCTGCAAGGGAAGCCAGTGTTAGCAGCCGGGGGAAGGAAGGCCTACTCTTGCACAAATTCCGTGCATCGGGCCTCTAGTATTAAATAAGTACAGTGAGATCTGTCAGCTCAGGATGGTCACAGTTTGAGAAGGTCACAAGAACAGAGGCCCTAAGTGGACAGAGCCACATGAACCCTCTCATTTCAGTCTGTATCCTCTTTATTTGGGGGAGTAGAATGGTTATCCAACCTGTTTAAAATATTAGTTGAATTTCAGAAAACAAGTAAGCATGTGATATAACTTCCTAAGACTGTTATAAACTACATACAGTTATTCCTCTTTTGAATTTTATTTTCTTATTCAGGAAGCAGGTAGAATATTTAAATTCCTCAGTTATGTGGTATTATTAGGGAGTAAGGTGTTCCATAAGGTGTTATAGGGCTTATATTTGATGCTTATCCATTTATAAATGAAACTGTGATGTAGAAGAAGCATTAGTTGGCCAAAAGACCCTGGGTCCCTCACCTACAGGAGTTCTAGCATAAGTCAAACAGTTATCAGTCCATGTTCATGGTTATGAAGGACATTTGTTATAATTGGTGGGTGTGTTTTTCCCAATTATTCAGTATTATTTGCCTCTATCCCAAAGTGTTTAGATTTTTCTATAAGGAGAAAATATCCATTGTCTCTCTTTGTATCACCTGCCACTCCACCTTATTGATTTCCTGATATGCTAGTTTAGTTAATATTCACTGAACTGAGGGTGGTATCATGCATTTCCCACAGTGAGTCAGCGGTTCTAAGCCTTTTCCTCCCTGTGGAAGCATTTTTCATTTCCTTCTGAACTGTTCTAGTGGTTTATTTACTGATAACAAAAGTTTTACTGCTACTTAAGATGACGCCATATCTGATTTAGCCAGAGTTCTAAATAATACATTTTTTTTAGATTGTATAAGCTTGTGCTTTTAAACAAAATGTAGACCATGATCTGGAAACAATAGCAAACAGCTTAAAATAACGCTTTGTAAGAGAAAATTTGTTCCTAAATATTAAATCATTTACTGTTGAGCTAAAACCACGCATAGTAGTTTCTTAACTTCGGTAACATATTCAGATAAAACCGAGATTTGCCTTGCAGAAGGACTTCAAAGGCCTTTCATGCGCTAGCCCTCTACTGAAATCTCACCTCCTTCTGGCTACTCCCATGTTTCCTCACTGTTCATGAAAATAACTGCAACTTACTCCCAGTTTCAGTGACTCTTCTTTCAGGAAAACTTCCAATCCCCACCCCTCGGTGCACTCCTAGAGCTAGTAGCTCATGACAGCGTTTGATCAGTGTGCCAGAATTGCTCATTTGTTTGCCTTTCTCCACAAGTTTGCTATATTCTATTTACATTTAGTGCATAGTAGAGCTCTGTAAATGTTTATTGAATGAATTGCATAGATAACTTGAATAAAACCTAATTACTTTACATAGGCCAGCAAAAACTTTTTAGTAATCTATAATTTATTAGTGTATTGATTTTGTATTTCTGAAATTAGCCAACTTTTTAAAAGTTTTGCTTTGTGTTTTAACAAAATTTGCCCTTATTTGCATATACTCAGAATATAATTTGAAAGGGTTTTCCAATTTCATAAGCAAGTTTCTTAAAAATCTCTGTAGCTAATACTGTAACAGCAGGTCCTCAAATAAAGTCATTTCATTATGTTGATGAGAAAAAACAGGAGTTTCTGGCCAGGCCCACTGTGTGGAGTTTGTATGATCTCCCCATGTCTTTGGGGGGGTTTCCAGGGACCCCGGTTTCCTCCCACATCCCAGAGATGTGCACATGAGTCGTGTCTACATTGTCCCAGTCTGAATGTGTGTGTATGTGTATGCACATGCATGTGCACACACATGCCCTGCAATGGAAGGGCGTCCTGTCCACGGTTGGTGCCTGCCTTTGCACTCTGAGCTGCTGGGCTGGGGAAAGCTCCAGCCACGGGCAACCCTGAATTGGCATTAGGGGGTTGGTCTTGTGGGGTTTTTTTTGTTTGTTTGTTTTTTAAAGAAGGGATTGAGATTTTATTTATTTATTTTTAAATATATTTTATTGATTTTTTTACAGAGAGGAAGGGAGAGGGACAGAGAGTCAGAAACATCAATGAGAGAGAAACATCGATCAGCTGCCTCCTGCACATCTCCCACTGGGGATGTGCCCGCAACCAAGGTACATGCCCTTGACCAGAATCGAACCTGGGACCCTTCAGTCCTCAGGCCGACGCTCTATCCACTGAGCAAAACCGGTCAGGGCTGGTCTCGTCTTTATTGATCTTAAATGTATATATAACTCAGTTATTTCAGTGTTTAATATTAGAAGTGTTCTGAGTCTGTAGTTTGAAGTTTTGTGATATTTTTGTGACCAGAAATATGCCATAGGAACTTAACTCTATTATCATTCAGCCTATGATAAAATTGGTTTTGTTAAATGTTGTTTCACTTAAAGTCAGTTTCCAAGAACCTATGAACAATATTAAGTGAGGACTTCATGTAGTCACTTGTATCTCATTAAAAGCAGCGATGTCCTGGAAGTTTCTTTTCTGTGATTTTTCTCCCCAAGGTAGGGGGCGCCCTCCAGAAAGTGATCCATTATTCCAATTCACTTTATTGTTAAACCCACTAAACAGTTCTATCAAGAGATGAGATATCCCAGCTCTTTTTCGCTAGGAAACAAGAAGCCTATTATGCCTTAAACCTCCTTTAGAAGAACATTAAAAGGAGACATAATCCAGTGAAAGTGAAGATAAATTCAGTGATTTAGTGCTAAAAGGTTTCAACTGGAGAGCCCCTGAAATTTAAATGAAAAACAATAATGATGTATCTGTATTATGGGGAAAGATCAACAGTGGTTGGATTTATGTAGTTACTAAATATTTCTGTTTTTAGGTATCGGATGATAACAGAAGGCGGAGTCAGTATAAATCACAGACAAGTAACAAATCCAGAGAGTGTTTTGGTTGTTGGACAACATATTCTTAAGAATGGACTTTCATTACTTAAAATAGGAAAAAGGAATTTCTACATTATAAAATGGCTTCAACTATGATGAAAAATCCTTCTGATGATTCAAACTTACCGCCATTCATTCTCAAGATATACGAAAGGTTGGCTCCAGAACTTAACATTCCTTCACTTACGCCAATCAGCAGAGAATGGAGTATATACTCTAGGCCTCACAGTGTGAGTAATTTCATTATTTATATAGGTTGGTTAATAAGTTGTCTAAATGATGGGATTTTATTTCTTGATCCTTAAACATTAAGGACTACCATAGAAAACCATGGTTTCCAGAGTTAGTATGTTTTAAAAATTATACTTTATGAAAAAACTAAATGCTGTCTTTCCAGTCCTATCTTGCTCTCCTTTTTGGACATGAGGAACAATGAAAAAGAGGTAACCTAAGGAATTGCAGATACTTTTATATCAAGTATATATATCTCACTGATCTCGCTAATGTCTGTATTAAAACCAGCAGTGCCTCTAGCATCCACATTAGAAATCTAGTACTGGAAACTGATTTTTGTTGTTGTTTAGGAACCAAATACAGTTCTTAGAAAAGATTAAAATTCAGTACTTGACTTTTCAGAAAGTTTCTAATTATTTTCCATTCCCTTACCTGTGTTTCAGTGGAACTAAATTTACTCACCACCTTATTTTGTCAAACTAAATGTAGCAATATTTTATAAATTTAAAAACTTTTACATTAGTTTTAAGTTTCAACTTCTGTCCCCCACCAGATTACAACTTGAGATAAACTGAAAACTTAAGTAACCAAAGAAGTAAAATAGGCAAATATTATGTTATACCAACTATCCAATTATATGAGAATATCAAAAGATACTCGGGTAAGGGAAGTTTTCAGGTCAAATTTAAAGGATTTCCTATCAAGACTTAGTTAAGCTCTACATAGTTTAGGCAAATTAAATCTCCAGAACTTAAATTTCCACATATGACAAATCCATTTCCCTGAGGATCAAGTGAAAGGCACAAACATACAGAATGGTTCATAACCAAATTTACTCTAGAAAACCTTACAGGCAGCAAAGAGTGGCTTTAATGTTCAAGTTCTAGCCATTTGCTACCTGGATTACTTAGAGAAAGTCACTGTCTTTATATGCAAAAATGGAGATGTAATAATACTTCAGTGAATTGTTAGAATCTAGTAAGAAAGTCAAAACTTTGATACAATATACACTGTATTAGATTTGTAAGTTAAAAAGCTAGAGTTTATCTAAACCTTTTTCTGGGAGTAAAGTGAGGAAGAATTCATTTATTGATAAACTTTAATGTCATTTCATACCAGCAATTTTATTTACACAGCAAGAACATACAGGTATCCATTATAAATGTCATAGATCATCTCCACATTTCAGAACTTAACCCAGTTTAGAGCCAACAAAGGTTTCTCTTGCCACACCTCTCTTGCCTATTTTTCTTTGTTCTAGTACAAGGTATGTAGTACTAGAAAGTGCATTACCATAGCATGTCTTTAAAGGGAACATTTTTTAATTGGAAATCTGTTTGATATACTGGAGAAAGATGCGTTAGAAGGGTTTTTCCCCCCCTTATAAATTCAAAAGGCTAAAACAGTAGTTATCTAATCTGTCTAAAGTAAGTAAACATGGATGGGTATAATTCAAAGCTAATGTTTAAAGATGGCAGAGTGATTTTAAAGTGCACTAACAAACATTTTGATACGATGTATTCTATCAAGATCTGAATCTGGGTTTTTTTTTATGTTTGAGATAAGTTGGTGAGCCTGTTTCTTAGTAAATGGGTACCTAAAGTTAAGAGATATATTTATATTGTCAATAGTCCTTCATAAATATTGTAACTTAAAAAGAAATTTTAATATCTGCTAGATGCCTTAAGAATTTTGACCATTATCTTAACATTTATAATGTAATTCATATCAAAAATCACCTGAGGAATTTTAATAAAATATATGTTCTAAACCTCACTCCTGAATGCAAATTAGTTGTCTATAAGCCATTAGGAGTGTGTCAGCATGGTTTTTTTTTTAAATAAGGCTCCACCAGTATTGTCACACCTCTATGCTAATTTTGCTGGTGTGAAGCAAAAGTACCAATTATCATCTAATACTTACTGATCTAGCACAGAATTTGGTTTTAAGTCCCCCCTCCAAGTAAGAGCATGGTGTTAAGTGCCGCAATTTTAAGATATATCTGAATTTTCTTAGAGCCTCTAAGTCTTACTATAAAATCAAGTGTAGGTGGTTGTTTTTAATACAGGAAAATGTAGTACGTGCTTCTAGGTTTGGGTAAGAATCAGATATTTTAATGCACTAGGGCAATGTGGACCAAGAAATGGAAGGGCTCTGTGGCTACCCATTATGCACACTGCATCATTGTCATTGTTAGAGATCCTCGGTACATCCACCTTTCTGACTAACACATCAAAGGTAGCAGAGATAGAACTAATAGGACAGGTGGAATACAGTGACTATGAGTAACTTGTCAACCCGCATCTTTCAAAGCCAGATCAGCTTATATAATGCATGCAGTACAGTCGTATGAAATGTCTTGGTGCGTTCTTCTTGAAGGACTGTGGTAGCAGCGTTAAGACTACTAACAGATTACACAGGTAAGCTGCTTGTACAATGAGAACATTAGCATTTCTTTGATAAATGAAACTATCACAAGAAAGAGTTGATGTATTTTATATATACTGGGAAACTTTAGAAACAGCCATTTATTTGGATTGTGTGATTTCATTCTGTAATACAGAGTACAGTTTTCAGTGTATAGCCAGTCTTCACATGAGCAGTTCATACCATTGCAATACATAGGAGTTCATAAATAAAAATCTACTCAAGTAGGCAGTAACTTTCGAGTCAACAAAGTCTGTCTTACATAGTTCTCTTCACCAAAGATGAGTCTCTCTGATTTCAGCAATAATTTGACCTGCTCCTTGTAATGCCTGCATTAAAGAAGATAAAAATTATAATTCTATTATGTGGTTGATTTATACTAACCAGTATCTAGCTGAGACTCTAATAATTACCAACATCATATGAAGACCATAGTTGCACTCAAGAATCAGAATGCATTTTTAACAGATGTTTAAATAAAGTAACAGGAATACCTTTAGCATATCGGCTGCTTCTTTCCTACGTTGTGCCATGTCCTCAGATTCAGTCAGAAGATCATCCAATAAGGATGATTTATACAGCTGTCCTACTAACTCACTCTGAAGAGTATCTTTCACATGATTAACCAAAAAATGCATTACTGCCTTTGGCACACTGCAAAACAAAACAAGATGATCCATTTGATTTAGAATAAAAACCTAAAATTTTAAAAATGCATGAATTTTCAAAACAGATCACATAATCATCCAGCAGTCTGATTTACATCATGTACTACTAACCTGTCTTGAATATTCTTTCTGACAATAAGAAAGTAAGATTTGATGAGTCGTTCAATAACTTCACAATCTCGCTGCTCACGGGCAGATAGTTTGCGTGCAACAGGAACCGGCTAAATGGGATGAGAAAAAATACCACTTTTGTGTCATTTTGAAATGGCAATATTTGGCATTCAAAATTCATTGAGTTTTTGAGACTTTTAGTTCCTTTTGTCTTTAATAGTGTTTTCCTAGTAATTGTCTTATTAGTCCTCAATCAAATTCTCATGGCTTACCACATCCAACAGATTCACAGCATGGCCTTTCTGTGGACTAGCTGGCATAATTGGAATTGGTTTTGATTTTTCTTCAGCTAATAACTCTTCAGCTTTTGAAGTTTTCAGCATTCCTCTCCAGTTGCCTGTTGTTGGTTCTTGAACAGCATCTCCAACCCCACCACCTCCAGATAAAACCTAAAAAAAAACCACACACACACCATATGCTCCAAAATCTCTACCAACCATATTAGATCTGATCATAACTAAACAAAGTTCGTTTTCTTTGACAGCAGTCAAGGCGAACACACATCCAATACCCAGCTGGAGGTATAACAGGTCAGAAAGATGGGGTGGCATGTATGGCCTTCTTTAGCATTTGCTAGCTTTTCAAAGTTTTTCCTTTTTTCCAAACCCTCTTACACTAGGTTATAGAAAAAAATATAATATGCCCTTAAATCAAGACTGCTTATTAAAAGCAGGAAACACAGAACTACCACTCAGCTTAATTTCCACAAAGTAACCTTAAACACTGTTGAACTATGATCTCTCCAAACGTTCTAAGAACTCAAGTTACTTTACATTTAGTCAACAAAATATCGTAAAAATAGACTTTTTTAATGAAACAAGAATATACCCATGATTCTTAGTGACTTTAAGCTGCCTAAAATGTGACATAAATACACACAGGTTCCCTCAATATCTATATCCTCGAGAAAGGATCTGCTGAAAGAAATCTAGTGCTACCATTAATCACAACTATTTTTAACCTTGATTTCTCAAAGAAAAATGACTAGGAAAATGAGAAAAATAGTAGTTCATCAACATTTAAGAGATCAGATGCTCTTTAAGATCTTAGACTCCAAAACGACAACCAAAATTTATAGGTATTAATTAAAATGGCTTATATAAACTTAATAGAAAAGTGAGTGTTATGGCAACTGTTTAAAAAGTCAGTTTGGGTATTATTCTGACCCAAAATTATCTGTTAGTTAAAATCAGCTTTAAATATAGGCAGTATATTTACACATTAATTTTAAAATGTTAACTATACATGAATGGTATAACAAAATCTTAAGTAAGCAAATTCAGGGTGATGCCATGAGTGAAATAATAAGCAATGATTTAGATATTAGATGGTTCTCTTAAAGTCTGAGCACAGTGGGCTGAGAGAAAACAAGACATTTATCAGGTTTTATTTGAAGTTGAGAATCTTAAATCTGGACAATAAAGAAAGGAGCCAAGTGGCAGAATAACCAGACAAATGGTTCTGAAATTTACAGATTAATAATTTCCCCCTAAAAAGATTATCAGGAATCAACAAGTCTCAAACTCTCAAAGTCCCCAATTGTATTAATGTGCTTAAGCTGTTGAGACTTATGTTAAGCTACATATATAGGGTGGGTGACAAGTGCAAACTGAATGGAAGCTTAAGAAAGAAGCATGAGAGGATTACCCATTAGTACTAGACAGATTTCAGATATTCAAAAGTACAGTTTCCATCTCTGGAATCTTAATTCCCAACCAGAATATTAAATTCAAAACTATTCTCAACAGTAACAGAAAACAGTGGGAAATACTATTATTGTTATTACTTAAAACAACATTAAAACTAGAATTAAAGGGGTTAGTTAGATAAAAGCAACATTAAAGACAACACAGACAACGAGTTAGATGCCACTGTACAGACAGGTTCTTCAATGGTTTTGAAACAGTGTTTCGGTGAGAACCAACATTGCCATTCTGAGGCAAGACTCACATTTTTAGTTTCTCTTCTGCTGTCCTGAATTAACTGTTAAAAGATATGTTAAAACATGCAGTTTAACAAGCAAAATTTCATTATCAATGGCTTGAAAGTCAAAAAGTGCAGAA